CGTTGACATAGATAAATCCCTTTCGAACTTCTTGCAACTTCCACGCCTAAGAAATATTTTAGACATCCCAAATCCTTCATGTGAAAACATGCACTCAAGTAGGCTTTGAACACTCGTATGGCATTGCAATTATTTCCAGAGATTATTAAATCATCAACATAGACTAGTACATTGAGTCGAGTAGTACCTCGTTTTAAGGTAAACAACGAGTAGTCATATAATGATTGAATGAACCCATACCTTCGCAATGCGGTTGATAGTTTCGCAAACCAACACCGAGGCGCTTGCTTAAGCCCATAGAGAGACTTCCTCAGCCTACAGACAACCCCTGACTTCTCAGTTCTAAAACCTGGAGGCATTTTCATATACACCTCTTCCTCTAGATCTCCATGAAGGAATGCATTATGGACATCCATTTGATGCAGTTCCCACCCTTTGGCAGCTGCTACTGCTAAAAACATTCTCACTGTGACCATCTTAGCTACGGGTGCAAATGTTTCTGTAAAATCAACACCTTCTACTTGATGATTCCCAAGGATCACTAACCGGGCTTTATATCGCTCCACTGTGCCATCTGAATTATATTTTATTTTGTAAACCCACTTACACTCAAGAGCTTTCTTCCCCGTAGGCAAAGTAGATAATTCCCATGTCCCATTGTTAGATAAAGCATCAATTTCTTTTCGCATGGCTTCTCTCCAACGTTTGTCTTTCTTCGCAGCATTAAAAGACTCTGGTTCTTGGCCTGCAACAAGAGCTGCAAGAAACTCCCGATGTTGCAAAGAAAATTTATCATAGTTCACACTATGAGCTATTGGATAAGGCGTACCTGAGGGATGCTTTGCAACGGGTGAATCGAGAGATGGGCTCAATTTATAAGCAACGTTGGTAACAAAATCATGCAATTTCACTGAGCGATATCGAGTTCGGTGTCCACGTCCTAATTGTTCTCTAGACTCAGACATGTCCCCCGAATTATTAATTACTTCTGTGTCATCTGCAACGTCATTTGCACCCCCCCTTGCTTCTAAACTCTCATTCTCAACATCTTCATGCACTAATTCTACTTGCTGTAAATCTTGGTCAACATCTGGCTCACAATCATTTTCAGATTCTTCCACACTTAACTCTTCATGCATGGTAGTGTTCTCTCCATTAGTTCCTTCAAGTGTGCTAGGACTAAAAGGAAATTCTCCTTCCCAGAAATTTACATCACGTGATATAAAGTATTCCTTTGTCTCTATATCGTACACTTTCCACCCTTTCTTTCCGTACGGATACCCCACAAAAATACATTTTCTACTTCGGCTAGCAAACTTATCTCCCTTCGACTTTTGGTTATGGGCATAACACAGCGAACCAAACACCCGCAAATGATCATACCGTGGAGGTTCTCCGTACAAAGCTTCATATGGAGTCTTTCCGTTCAAAAGTGGAGTTGGTGTTCTATTTATCAAGTAACAAGCACTTAACACACATTCCCCCCAAAAATCAATGGGCAAACTTCCTTGAAATCGCAAAGCACGAGCAACATTCAGGATGTGCCGGTGCTTCCTTTCGACTCTCCCATTTTGTTGAGGTGTTCCTGTGCAAGAGCTTTGAAAAATAATTCCATGTTCCAAAAAATATTGCTTCAAACAAACAACCTCAGTTCCATTGTCACTCCGTACCATCTTAATCTGTTTATTAAATTGTCTTTCTACCATAGAAAAAAAATTGAGCAACACACGAGACACTTCCTTTTTATCCACGAGCAAAAATACCCACACAGCACGAGAGTAATCATCAACCACCGTTAAAAAATAAGAAGCACCACAAGAAGATTTAATTTTGTAAGGCCCCCACAAATCACAATGTATAAGATCAAACATATTGGTTGCTTTATTATTACTCAAAGGAAATTGGTCTCTTGTTTGCTTAGCACGTTGACATACATCGCATACTTTGTGCAACAAATTATTTCCATCACTAATATCAGCTACAGGTACTAACTTTGTAACCTTTAGGGAAGGATGTCCCAAACGTTTATGCCATAGCTCCAATGAACCTCCACTATCAACTTTTGATACCCTTATGCTCGGTATTTTCCAGAAGTAATAGAGCCCATTTCTCCGTTCACCCGCTCCAATCAGCATCCTCGAAGTGCGGTCCTGTATTACACACAAATCCTTAGTAAATTGAGCAATACAATTGGAGTCATCAATCAATTGCGACACAGAAATTAAATTGCAGTTCAACTCAGGTACATATAACACATTATGCATTTTCAATCTTTCAGCAAGATTCACCAAGCCCTTCTTAGTTGCAACGGTAATACGTCCGTCTGGCAACCCCACAGGACAACCAGTCATATTGCTCACATTGTGCAAAATATTCGCATTGCCCGTCATGTGATTGGATGCCCCTGTATCAATGATCCACGTATCATCTTTACCTGTCATTGTATCATTCAATCCACCTTTACATGCGTTCAAAGCTGCCAAAAGAGTCTGCCATTGTTCATTGTTCAGTCCGGTAATCTTGTTATTTTTTGCTACCACCTCGGGATTGACTTCCTGATCATTACTTCCAGAGGTGTGCATAGCATTTGCCCGAACACCGCCTCCTCTCCCACGCCCGGTAGATGCTCGCTGTGTTACTTTGCCTCGTCCACCACTTTTTCCTTCTCCTCTTGGCCTATCACCCCACCAATCTGGATACCCAATTACCTGAAAACAAGTCGAAGCTTCATGCCCTATCCTTTTACAAATTGAGCAGGTTATAGTCTTCTCCATCATGTCTCCTTTTCCTTTAAATTTATTTCCTGTCTGCACGTGTAACCCAATCGGTTATCCTCGTTCTTCACTCACACGTGCCACAGATTTAACTTTCTCATCACGTATCACAATTCCATATGCTTTGTTTAGACTTGGGAGTGGTTCCGCCGCTAGGATATTTGAACGCACAGTACCGTACATGATCTCATCCAAACCCATCAAAAATTGATGTAACTTCTCCTCCTCTCTGCGCTTATCAAGTTTTGCTGAGATGTTGCATTTGCATCCTCCACACTCACATATAGGCATCTGTTCATAGCTAGCCAAGTCATCCCACAACCCCTTCAACTTTCCAAAGTACCCGGCTATGGTCATTCCATGTTGTTTGCATTCACTCAGCTCAGTCTTTATTTGATGTATTCGCGGTCCATTCGGGACCGAGAATCGTTCGTTGATGTCATTCCATAGGTCTTTCGCATCTTCCATATGCGATATTGTAGACCTCAGTTCCGGTTCAATCGTGTTCCAAATCCATGATACAAGCATGGACTGCACAGTCCACCAATCCTCGTACTCGACAGATCCTGGTTTCGGTTCTAAAATCGTTCCCTCCACGAAACCCCATTTGCGGCGAGCTCGTAGGGAAGTTTTCATCGCCCGTGCCCATTCATCATAATTTTCGTCACCTCGAAGTCGAACTTGCGTGATAACATTCCCTGGGTTGTCATTCGAGTTCAACTCGTAAGGGGAGACAACCCTTTTCAATGGTTCTGTTTTCTTTATGTCACCCTCTCTATTCTCTGTGTTTAAGTCTGGCTCTGATGCCATGAGAAATCAAACACAGTGTAGAACACAAGGAAGAATGGAAGAAGGTCTGCCTCTCATTGCTTAACCAGACACGGTTATATACAAATTACATCCTAAAAGGAAGGAAACTCAAAGGTAATATATAACAAGAAAATATTACCAACTAAATACAAAAGGAATATTACCTAAATAAAAGATATTTACTGAATATATGTGCATGGAAATATTTTTCACAATATTCGTTAATACATTCTGTCAACAAAGTTGGTGCAATCCAATAAATATTTTAGTAACCTTCTAAAGAAATGTTTAGCAGTCTCATTTTTCTCCAAAGTTTTACTCAACATTGGATTTATGGTACATAAACTAAAGTAGGGTGAAGTGAGGGGGCAACGAAATTAGGAGACGATGAAATGAGGAGGGATAAAAGTCATAAAACTAAATTAATGGAATGATACATGATTTAAATTAGGTAATGGCCCTGTTTGGTAAAATATTAGCTATAAGTCAATTTTAACTTATTTGATCACTATTAGCTATTTGACTTGGTTAAAAATTTAATATAAGTGTTTCGTTAATTAACTTTTTGTAATTCTAAAATGTTAAAATTTAAAAAACTGCTCAAAACAATTTTTTCAATTAACTTTTTGAGAAAAGAAATTATACCAAACAGCTATCAGCTAACAACTAATTTACCAAACACATTTCTACAATCAGCTAATGTAATCAACTAGTTATACCATCTAATTAACCCAATCAGCTAACAGTCATTTACTAAACATTGACAATGTATTATATAATTATAGGGGTAATCAAATCATATACATGTGTTTTAAAAATTTGTCATCAACCAAACAATGTATATAACTTTCATTCACATTTCTTGTGTCTAAACCATGAACCAAATACACATTTAGGGCTTAACCCTAACCCTAACCCTAACCCAATATAAAGAAGGCAATATATAAGGGCTATACTATTTTCCTATTCTATTACTGTGAAAGCTAAACGTGAAAGACCATAGGGGAAAAGTATTCTGAAAACACTCTGCAAACTTGAAGAAAGAGGTTATGAAGAAGAAAGGGCTAAAAGCTTCATCAATCTCTCATGGAATGGAATCAGGTTAATACTTTAACGCTTTCGATTAAAGTATTGGTTAAATCATTCAATGCCTAGTGTTATAGTTTTACATGTGGTATCAGAGCAATGTTAGGTATAATGATTTACCATTTGAAATTTGTGTGTGTATATATAAAATGATTTACCATTTAAAAATTTAAGGACCAATTTTAAAAAAATCGTTATAGTCGGAGGACTATTGCTGGAATTAACTCTGTTATAAATATTAAAATGTTAAATATTTAAACATGATATGAATATATGATGATAGAGACAGGAGAGCATATTGGGGGAAAATTATGATTAGTTAAATAGGTAAAAATGGATTGACATAGTAGCCGTTGTTCAAAGTTGAAACCCATAGGAATTTGAAACTTCAAATCAGTCCGGCGAACAACGAACACTGAGCTGGAGACTGAGATGGGGGAAGTAGAAGGGCCGATGCTGAAGCTAACTATGGAGAAGGGGCCGCTGGCCGGCCAAGGCCTGGAATTCAAACCCGGAATTGCCGTTCGGGTCGGCCGGGTTGTACGGGGAAACAATATCACCATCAAAGATTCCGGCATCTCCTCCAAACACCTCACCATCGAATTCAACTCCTCCGACGGAAAATGGGTAATCCGCGACCTCGGATCCTCAAACGGCACCTTTCTCAACGCCGGCAAGCTCGACCCGTCCTGCCCCGCCTGCCTCTCCGACTGCGACGTCATCAAAATCGGCGAGCTAACTTCTATCAAGGTTCAGATCGGAGATGCCGCCCCCGCCCCCGCCCCCGCCCCCGCCCGCGCTCCTACTAGGTCAAGGCGAAACGCCGGCAGGAAAGCGGCCGCCGACACCGCAACAAGCGACGACAGCGATGCGGCGGCGGAGAATTGCGAATTAGGGTTAGTGGCTGAAGATGCCGACCGCGCATCTACTAGGCCAAGGCGAAACCCTAGGAGGAAAGCGGCCACAGACACCACAACAAGCGACGACGGCAATGCGGCAGTGAAATGTGAATTAGGGTTAGTCGGTGAAGATTCCAACCGCGCATCTTCTAGGCCAAGGCGAAACCCTAGGAGGAAAGCCGCCACCGACGACCGAGATGCGGCGGAGAAATGTGAATTAGGGCTAGTGAGTGAAGAGTTGGGGAACAATAACAAGGGGAAGAAGGGGAGGCCTCCTCGTCCTCGTACTCGGACTGAAACTCAGGCTGAGAGAGACAGTGAAAGCGTGAAGACCGAACTTCAACCTGAGGGTATTGGATTGGAAAATGCAGGCATTAGATTAACAAGGAGCTCGAGCAAGGCAGAGAATTTCGATGGTGGGGTTTCTCAAGTTGAAACTGGTGATACTGAGATAGTAGAGAATTTGAGCGCGATTGAAACAGCGGCACAATATGCAGATGAAAATGGTGATCAAAGAAGGACTAGGAATGCCCGGGGGAGAGGAAGAGGAAACAGGGGAAGAAACCTTGTTCCAATTGAGCAGCCTCTGGCGAAGCCAAAAAGGGTCACCAGAAGCAAAAAACAGATCAATTTACAGGCAGAAAGTGTTACCACGGAAGAAGAGGAGGGAGCAGCAAAAATGTCGATATCTAAGGAGCAGACACAATGTAAAGTTGAGGCAATTCGGAGCATGGAGGAGGAAAGGCAAGTGGAAGGGTATAATGCAGTGGAGGAGCTGGTGAATCTCAGAGAAGAAGGTCACAACGGTGCATCAAATACCTCTGGTGCAAAAAAAGATGAAAATAGTGTTTGGGAACAAACTAAATGTCGAGATGGATCAATTCAGCAGATCGAGGAGGATGGCCAAATAGAAGGGAATCATGCGGTGGAGGAACAGCTAACTTTTGAGGTCACAACTGTGAATCTCAGAGAAGAAGGTCACAACAGTGCATCAAATACCTCGGGTGCAAAAAAGGATGAAAATGGTGTTTTGGAACAAACTAAATGTCAAGATGGATCAATTCAGCATCTGGAGGAGGATGGGCAAGTAGAAGGGAATCATACAGTGGAGGAGCAGCTAACTTTTGAGGAAGAAGAAGCCTGCCATGGTTCACCCAATGTATCCGGTGGAAACATGGGCAAGCCTGATGTTGAAGAAGTGAACTTGGAAATTTTGACTCTAGGGGAGTGGCTCGATTATTTGGAGATTTATGTCCCAAAACAAATAATTGATGTCACAGAGGAGATGATATTGGAAATGAGAAAAAAGGCTGAGAAATTGCAAGAATTTATGCTGCATCAGAAGAAGGCCAAGGAGAACACGTAGCAGTTATGGATCTATCTGCATATCACAGTGGTTGGTAAACGCCTTTTAAATTTAACATGGACATATTAGAAATGTGTCATGCTCATAGGATTATCTTCTTATAATCCTTTACGCTCAGTGTTTGTCTCCTATTTGTACTTGGTAACAAAAACTTTTGTATTTTAACCATTGTCCTTGGTCATATACATTGTCTTTCTCTCAAAATGCTCTAAGCTTAGATTGTTACCACTTCTGGGTTTAATTTCATTTCTTTCATTAGGTAAACAGCTGATCTGGAGAATTTGCTTTCTGTGATCTATTTGTGTAATAGTAGATTGTAACTTATTCACTGACCAAAGAATTTATACTGCCATCTAAAATTTTCTTTCTGTTTTAGGTGGCTTTCTGTACATAATCCTAGAGATACATCTTTATTCTTTACGATGGGACACTTCTTGAATTAAAGTGCTGCCATAAACACGGATTTAGAACCCGTCAATCAATTAACTGCTCTATATATCTTTTCTTTTAGCACTATTTGATCAACCCCTAAACAAGTTAAGGCTGTTAGGTTTTCAGCCATGTCCACAGTTGATGAAGTTTTTTGGTTAGGCATTGCTGCCAATTTGGTTTTCTGGGGAATGAATTAGAAACAAGCTTTTGATGTTCTTGTATGTATGCCTTGGACCACCTATTCATTAACATAAATTGTTTTTGAGGCAATGTTTTGAAAACTAATATGTAGTAGTAATATGTTTATGGGATGACTATTGAAGGAAGTAACACTTATGACTGATCATTGTTTATGGCAAATTATACAATGAACATGGACTACCTTGCATTATGGACAAGGGTTCAAAATGACATTTAAATTATGTGTCACAAATTATATACTTATAAATAAATGTACAGATTAATTGCATACTAACTTCTACAGACACATAATTTGAATGTCATTTTAAACCAAGATTCATAAATGCAAGGTAGACGTAGTGGTTTATGGAATAGAAGTATTATTGGCTTATTGCAGTTAAGTTAATTTCAGCACTCTTTTCTCTGGATGTGCTCACTTAGCTGAACCTTTTGCATTCCTAAGGGTTATTATGGGTTATAACTATCTGAACTCCAAATTATCAAGAAAAGTGTAGGGGGTGAAGATGTAAACAAAAAGGAATCAAATCCAAACAATAGCATAATGTATAAAAACCTCAACTCAAAATGCAGTCCACAAGGGATTCTAAATAGACAGAAGATCAAGAATCAAAATCTTGTTTAACTCAAAACTGGAAAACTAGATGTGTGCTAAGGTGGAGGCTTTGTGCTTCTTAGGTGCTTAAGCTGTTAGAGGCAAAAATGCTTTTCCAGGTTTACGGTTTGCAAGCCGTCCATGACATCCAAGGAGCTGCATTACAAAAGGAAATAAAATTTTATCATACCATGATTCCAACAGCCAAAATAAAAAGAGCAAAGCTTGAAATGTGGTAATGTCATAGGTAGAAGCAGAATACCTTAGCATTGACACCATCAGGTGCAATGCGATTCTCCTTTTTGTAGTTCACATAGTCAGTACGATTGAATTTAGTGAAACCCCTGAAAACAAATAATAGAGAATGATCTAAGCAATCATTCACAGCTAGCTAGTGTAGTAATTAAGGTTCGTAAATATGCTCATCAGTTATCACAGATTGAAAGTTGAAGCAAGGTAAATAAAGTTGTAAGCTGTGTAGTGTCACAAAACCATAGACCACTGCAGATTACATATTTACATACCATTTCCTGCTCTCAATGATCTTTTGACGACCAGGGAACTTGAACTTTGCACGGCGCAAGGCCTCCTGTGCATTTTTGCCATTGGGATCCTTGCAACGAACAGAAAGAAGAACCTGTCCAATGGCAACACGGGCACAAGTACCCTGCGGCTTACCAAAAGCTCCTCTCATGCCAGTTTGGAGCCTATCAGCTCCAGCACAAGACAACATCTTGTTAATACGCAACACATGGAAAGGATGAACCCTGACCCTAAGGTGGAAAGCATCCTTTCCTGCGAACTTGGTCATATACTTGTTGCAAGCAATACGTGCTGCTTCAAGTGCCTCACTAGACACATTTTCCTTCTCCCAACTGACCAAATGCACACAATAGGGGAATTCATCCACTCCCTTTTTCTTCATCCCCACATCATAGATCCTAATCTTTGAATCCGGCACACCACGGCAGTACCTTGATTTTGGGTAGGGCTTGTTCTTAATCTGGCGATAACACCTAGCTGGTCCTGAGGATTGGGATTCAAAACATTATGGAATTATTAGGTTTTGTGCAACAAAACATAATGAATTGTGTGTACATACAGTACATCAAGCTACTAAACTCAATGTCTTAAACAGAATATTTCAGTGGTATCACAACAAGAACAACTTAAATGCAGATATTTAAAAAAAAAAAAAAAAACATAGCTGGAAGATCAAACCAACACAATAGACTTCATAAAAGCTCCACAATAATAAAATTATCATGAACACTGTATCAATATAAGGTTTAACTGCAGATGTTGGTGCTAGAAAAATCTCCTTATTTCTCTATTGCAAAACATTCAATAAAATTTCTAAGGATAAAACGAAGTCACTACAGCGAACAACCATGAGATAACAAAATTTAAGCTGCATTGTCCTCCAAGATGAGTTGCATAAATCAAACTAATAACTGCTTTAAAAATGACTAATTGCTCTTAAGAAGCAAGAATAATTGCATGCATTCTTCCTAAAATTCCCTAGAGAAAGAATTGCAGCAAAAAGCATGTAAATTTAATCGATCAAATGAAACCAACAAAAAGACAAGAAAATTAATGCCCATGAACAAAAAATAGCTTGAAAAATGCACAAATCATTTCAGAAAATTCAACAGTAACAGAGCGCAACATCTAAACATGTATGAATGGAAGGAGAGGGATGAGGGAGAGAGAACTCACTTCTCCCCATGACGGCAGGGTCTTCTCCTTAGCTGATCTGTGGCTCCAAGAATGGCTGAAACCCTAACCTATTAAGTATTAAGATGAAACGAACCTAAAAAAAAAACCCTAATCGGAGGAAGAGAGGGGTGGCTTAACTTGAATGGGCCGACTCTAAAGTGGGCTTAACTTGTTCGACCCCAACACTACTTTTCAAATCCCCGGGTTTTGCTTCGGAGCCCACTACTATACTAAAAAAATATATAAATAAAGTAAAACTATGGGGTTATTTGGTAAATAGTTATTAGTTGATAGCTGATAGCGGATTGGATTAGTGGGTTTGACAAGTTGGTAGAATTAACTGATTGGAGAAAGATGTTTGGTAAATTAGTTGTTAATTGATAGCTGATTACATACAAAATGACCTTCTTAAAAAACTTATCAAAAAAACTGATTTAAACAACTTTTTGAATTTAAGTGTTTTAGAAGAATAAAATATTACAAAAAAAAAAAAAAAAAACTAATTAACCAAACACTTATATTGGTTGTTTAACCAAGTCAAACAGCTAATAATGATTAAATAAGTCAAAATTAGTTGATAAGCTAACTATGTTACCAAACGTGGCTTATATAAACAACTGTGATGTCATCAAATCACAAGATACTTAACATAATTATTGAACATGTACTCTATATATGTGTGTGTAATAAAATCAGCTATCAAGAACAGATGAATCCACCAAAAAGACAATCAAACAAATGAAAGCGAAGTTTAAAAATATAAGATTTTAATAGTGTTTTTGTTATAAATTCTTTATTATGGTCATTAAACTTGTGACTTTTGAGTTAACATTTACTTATTACATGATTTATGTTGAGTATGTGAAAGGTTGTATGAAACCTTCTCCCAAAAAGTTGAATCTCCAACCCTAAGGGCCCCCCACACTTCGACCGACAGAGCATGTGGGAGGATGTAAATCACGGTGACTCAATGGTTTAGTAGACAAGGCCAAATGCCGGTGCGTACAAGGAATCTGCCCACTTTGGACATAATTTTCCACTGCCGCCGCCGAGGTTCAAACATTGGTCTCTTCTCCCAAATACTGTCCACTAAACCATTAAGTTAAGCCCGTGCAGGTAATGGAGTGAAGGCTAATGAAATGAGACACACATATTGTTGTGCCCTACATTTGGTTTTCTTCTTCTTCTTCTTCTCTTTTTCTCTCTTTTACGTATACACGCATACATATATACGAACCTCCGGGCGAAGTACCGTTTAAACATCACGCGAGAACTGAGCTAGTTGATAGGTCAAATTATAACACGTTATCAGCCCGAGTCTCTATCGTAATCTTCGGTGAACGGTATGCCTGGATATGTTACAATACATTTTTCTTAGATTAGGCAAGCATGTTCATAGGATTCGTATAATACATGATTTTATATTGCACATGTTCATATGATTCGTATATATGCTTGCAAATTCTTGAATATGGATTTCCAATTTTATTTTGATTCTGCGAATCAGAAGAAAGCATGTGATATATATGTTTGTCAGTTTGTGTAAATAGAAGTGATTTTTCGTATATACAATGTATGTACACCATGTTGATAATATATTGCTGCAATATGAGCATGGTATTCGAAAGGTTGCAATGCTTCAAAATGTTTTCATGCTTGAAAATGGAAAAATATGTTTAGCTTGCATGGATCCGAAAGGATATTTTGTTTTCTGTTGAAAGGTTAATTTTTCTGCCGAAAGGTTGAATAATCGAAAGGTCATTTTTATGGTCTCTTGTGTGTTTTCGAAAGGTTAATTTGTTCTTTCAGACGTTTCCTTTCGACTTCATCTCTGAAAGTTTGATTTGCATCTAGAAGATGTCAAATTCCTTATTTAATCTATGAACATGTGATATTCTGAATGTATATGAGAACATATATATGTTTTGTAGATTACGTCTTCCATTGCCAAATGTGAATTACGTCTTCCATTGCCAAATGTGAATTTATTGAGCTCGCTTATGAATGAAGTAATTATTTAGCTTGATCTCTGGATATTGAAATATATTCGACATCTAAAGAATTGAGCCAAGTTTTTTGTTGCTAAGTCACAAAGCACCGATGCCTAGAAGGCACAAACTCTCATTTTCATACGTCACCACGATATTAAAAATGAGTATCTGATTGAAAAAGAACCCCTTGAATTAATGGAAGTCCATGAAGGACTATTCCGACCAGAAGTCATACAATGTTTTTCCTCAGACACATTTTGACTAGTTTATCTCATGTTTAATTTTGAGATTATAATATAAGTCAGTGATTAACTATAATTCAGCTATGC